TGGTGGGTAGATGGATGGGTGGATGCATGGATGGGCAAGTGGGTGGATGGATGGGTGGATAGATGGGTGGGTGGATGGATGGATGAGTGGATGGGTGGTGGATGGATGGGTGAGTGAGTGGAAGGAAAGGTAGATGGATGGATGCATGCATGCATAGGTGAATGAATGGATAGGTGAATGAGAGGAAGAAGACAGACGTTTCCAGGAGGCAGCCGCTAAGCAGAGAGGGAGAGGTGGCTTTCTTGGCTGAGGACCATATTGTGTCATGCTCAGGGTATTTACTTCTTACCTGCTGCCTCATTTAGACCTCACAGCTGCCTTCCTGGAGGCAGGCTCAACACATCCCCACTCCATGGAGGCTCAGCCAGGTTGGGCACTTCCCCATGGCCCTGTAGGGCCTGATCAGCCTCCTCAGCCCTCTCTGACTCCCCTGCAGCCTGTGACCAACCACAACCCCTGGATGCTGCTGTACTTCATCTCCTTCCTGCTCATCGTCAGCTTCTTCGTGCTCAACATGTTTGTGGGTGTCGTGGTGGAGAACTTCCACAAGTGCCGGCAGCACCAGGAGGCTGAAGAGGCACGGCGGCGGGAGGAGAAGCGGCTGCGGCGCCTGGAGAAGAAGCGCCGGAGTGAGTGGGTGCCTGTGGAGGGTGTGGGCCACCCAGCTCTAGGCCCCTCTGCCTGGACCTGACCCCAGCATCCTGAGCCTTTGGAGCTGGAAGGAAACAAATGATACAGCCCCTGTGTCCAGGGCTCAGTCACTTCTCCCAGCATCTTTCTGTCCAGGGGATCTGAGCTCCATCAGTGTCCAATGGCTGACACCACTGCCAACCTGAGTGAGGCTGTTGGGGGTTCAGTCCACGCATAGGGCAAAGGCAGAGCCTGGGCTCCCTGGGCCATGGGAAACCTGCCCTCCCTGCAGGCAGGCCCAGAGCTCCTGCCACAAGCTCATTTGGGGTAGATGGAGAGAATGAATGTCCTGCCTTCTTTGTCACCCTTCCCCACAGTTTCTGTCATGGTGCTTTGGCTGGGTGGAGATCTAACACTGATTCCAGGGCCTGGGGTGGATCAACATCTTCCTCCTTGCCCCCGCCACCCTTTCCTCCACATTTCTGTCCTTTGTGCTCTGTGCCCTTTCCCTTGACCCCAACCCTCTGTGGTCTGTGCCACTCCCCCTGCACCACCTGCAGAGGCCCAGCGGCTGCCCTACTATGCCACCTATTGTCACACCCGACTACTCATCCACTCTATGTGCACCAGCCACTACCTGGACATCTTCATCACCTTCATCATCTGCCTCAACGTGGTCACCATGTCCCTGGAGCACTACAATCAGCCCACGGTGAGCCCTGGTCTGCCTCCCAGCCCAAGGTTACAAGGTGAGGGTGGGGTCTCAGCAGGACCCCACCCCAGGGATAGGGTAGGGAAGGGGTTAGCTGATAGCAGGATGTGAGCAGCCCCTCCATGCTGGGCTCTATGCTGGGCACAGCAATGGGAGGAGGTGCTGGACAAGCTTGCCCTCAGGAAGCTCAGGGTCTGGAAGGGAAGGGTCAGAGGGAAGGTGGGTCAGGGAGGCAACATTTGGTCCGTGGTTTGCACATGGGTGGCAATGACTGTGGTGTGTTAAATATTGACTCTTTGCAAGGCACACTACATGTATGAACTCTTTAATCCTCATAGCAATCCTAAGGCTGGCAGGGGGAATCATTTGTCCAGATTTTATAGGTGAGGAACCTGAGGCTGAGAGAGCTTAAATATGCTGCCAAAATTACTCAGCCATAGGTAGTGGAACCAGGTCTGGAACTTAGATTTGCATTCAAAGCCTACCATGTAGCCTCCATTACTACCTGGGCATATGGAGACTATGCAAAGGGTGGAAGGACCATTTCAGGCAAACACTGGTGGTGGATGAGGATGACCATTTCCCAGCTTGTTGCAGACCGGGTATGTGAGGGGCATGTGAGAAGCAAGTTCATTCTAAAAACCCTGTTGGAGTTGGAGGGGAAGAAGAGGGAAGCAGAGCTTCCAGGTGTGGAATTAATACCTTATTTCAAATGATGGGAGAGGAATATTATGAATGCAGGAAAAAGAAAGATAACCATTGGCAAAATGAAACAATAATTATAGAACTTCCAAATTAACAGGAAAAAAATGGAAGAATAATGGTTTACATTTACCAAGTATTGTTCTGTGTCCAGCACTGAATTATTAGCTCATTTAATTTTCATAGCAGCTTTCTAAGATGAAATGACTTACTCAAGATCATATGGTGAATTTGGAGTGAGCACTAAGCCAGGATTCAAATGTAGGCAGTCTGGCTCTGTAGCTCTTCATTAATACCCCATATTGCCTCCAAAGGTACCAACTGGACCAGATACACACAAATAGGAAAAAGGAAACAGAAGGAATAACAACATAAAATAAATAGCACACATTAAGATGGAAAGAATAAAAGCAGCATATAAATAATACGCTAAAAGTAAATGGACTAAATTCTCTCCTTAAAAGGCAGAGACTTTCTGAGTGGAGGAAGGTTCTGGAGCTGGTCATGTGCCCTGGATCATGCTTCTCTTTGTTCCCCCATAGTCCCTGGAGACAGCCCTCAAGTACTGCAACTATATGTTCACCACTGTGTTTGTGCTGGAGGCTGTGCTGAAGCTGGTGGCATTTGGTCTGAGGCGCTTCTTCAAGGACCGGTGAGTGGCCAGGCTGGGTTAGGGCAGTAATAGGGTAGACTGTAGGATGAGGAAGCAGTCCTGACCCTTAGGGAAGTCTGGAGCAGCTTGAAGAGGGGAACCAGTAAGCATCTAGGCACTGATGGACAGGCGTCCCAGCTGCTGCTTATAGCTCTGAACAAGAAATGATTATGGCATCATCTGATGGGTGCAGGGTATTCTACTTGGCCCTTCTCGGTTCATCTTTGGTAGGTTGTTTCTACCCTATAGGCAGAGCAGGGTCTGCCTCATGCTAATACTCCTTTTTGAAGGGAATAGTGAGGCTCAAAGAAGTTGGTGGATTAGCCTAAGGCCAGACAGAGGGAGCAGCCAGCTCAAGGTTAGACCTGGAAGTCACAGTCCATGCCTTCTCTCCTGCAGGAGGCCAGAGATGTTTATTCTGATCAGCCCCTTGCTTGAGGAAGTGATGGCTATGGGGAGCAGAGACAGGCCTGGACCCAGTGGCGTTAGGAGGCGCTAGTAAGGGAGGGCAGCCACACAGCCCAATGGGCCACAATAGAAGGTTGAGGACTTGGGAGGCTCCCCTACTAAGATGTGTCTGAACCAGAGGGATCCTCCTCATGCCCGCTCCTACCCTCCCATGCACGGCTGAGCAGATGGAACCAGCTGGACCTGGCCATTGTGCTACTGTCAGTCATGGGCATCACACTGGAGGAGATAGAGATTAATGCGGCCCTGCCCATCAACCCCACCATCATCCGCATCATGAGGGTTCTGCGCATCGCCCGAGGTGAGGGGCAAGGGGTGGGACAGGGAACGGGGGCAAACAGGGGCAGGATGAGACTCCTCATTGCCTGATGAGAGCACACAGGAGTGGGGTGGGGAGAGGTGGGGGCAGGAGTTCGTGGGCATGGTAGGCTCCTTGCTGAGCAGGGGTGAGCAGGAGCCGGGAGGCACACAGCCAGCACACACGCATGCACCCTCTGTGTGCACACACCTCCCCCAGCACACAGACAGCTTGGCATAGCACACATGGATACACACTCCCACTTCCTTATAACGTCATGACCCATGGGGTCCAGTCTCAAAGTGATGCAAGGAACCCAGTCCAACTGGGAAGATGTGAAACACCTCCAGGTCCTCACTGGCGTTTCTCAAACACAGTGACTGGGACGTACGGTCTTCAGAGACCCTTCTCCTCCCCTCAAGGTAGTTCCCACACTTAAAAGCCTCCTGCCTCAGGGCGAGCCCAGGTGCCTCTTGCTCTTCTGCCTGCCAGAAACTCAGCGAGTGATGCCAAAGTCCTCTTTATCGAGAGGGGAAGGGAAGAGATGTGGCCACTCACGCTGGTCCTTTGTGCCTGTGACAGTTCATGGCACACTCATTCACACACTTCATAGACCTCAGTTCCCATGAGAATGCCCCATCCTCGGGGGCTGTTTTACAGTGACGCCCACGCCTTGTGTCCACATGTTTTTGTGCATGCCCCACTCACCCTGTGGCTGCATCCACATTCTTGTAATGTGGCGTCTGAGAGCCAGACTCTGCTTGCACGTGCCTTCATGTGCTCTTTTAGTGAGTTTACGCACGTGCACACACGCGTGCACACACACGTCCCCACCGGCCTGGGGCTGAGTGGGCGGGGCTGGGTCTCGCCCACAGTGCTGAAGCTGTTGAAGATGGCCACAGGGATGCGGGCCCTGCTGGACACGGTGGTGCAAGCTTTGCCCCAGGTAAGAGCCACTCTTTCTGGCAGCCCTACTAGGGGTCATTGGTGTCAGGCTGGGCCCTGGGGCATGAAGGCCCTGATATTCCTTCTCACATCTGCCAAAGGCAGGGCAGATGCTGTCTCTGGGGATGCATTTTGAGCCGAGGGCTGACAGGCAGAAAGGGTCCCTGTTTCTTCCGGCTTCACCACGTGGTTGCCAGCGACACTCTGTGTCCAGCCCTGCGCACGCACTCAGGGTCCACATCGTGCCCTTGGTTGCCCCAGGCTTGTGGAGGGAGATGGATACTTCAGGGAGATGTGGGGAGGGACCTCCAGCATGCTCCAGGGAGAGAAGACTGCCAGACACTCCCTGGGGAGATCAGGGAAGGCAGCCTAGAAAAGGGGACCTTTGAGCTTGACTTCCAAGGGTGGCTTGGCAGAAGAAGGTGGCAGTGTGGATGGGGAAGTTCCGAGATGGTATTCCAGGAGGGGCAGCATGAGACACTGACCCAGGTGGGGATCTCAGAAGTTAGGGAAGTTGCTTTACCCCCACCCCGTGGTTAGTGAAAAGGGAGATGTGATCAGGGCCACAGAGGGCATCTTTTTCATCCTCCTGGGAATTCTGCAATCCCAGTCCTTCCCTCCCTTGCTGTCTAGACTGCTTGAGGCTCTTCTTCCCCCTCCCCTAAGGGTGGCCTCTGCTGTGATGACCCTCAGGCACATTTATTTATTCATTATGATTCATCGAGTCATCAGGAACTTTAGACACCTTAAAATACAAGGCACAGATACTGCACGGTAAAAATGAGGATACAAGATTAACAGCCCAGGGAAGGTGGAAGCAGAGCTAATTCTTTCGGGGAGTGGGGCTAAGGACATGGGTGAGTTCTGTTCCTGAGTTTGGTGTGAGCTTCCCAGCAGCCTCGGTATAAAGGGAAAGTGGCATGGTCTGGATGGAAAGCAAGGGCATTCATTCAGAGACGTGGTTTTTCCTAACACTAAATTCCTTCAGGGGACTTTGTCCCATGGGAGATGGGAGTGATGCTGGGCTGCAGGCTGTGCAGACAAGAAGTAGATTGGAACCCTGACTTGGGCCATAATGCCTGAGAGCAAAGTCTGGGCCCTGGGCATGCAACTTAGCTTTTCGTGCCTCAGTTTCTTTGCCTGTGAAATGAGGATGGTGGTGAAGCATCGCTCCCTCAAGTGCTTATTTCAAAGGGCAGTGGTGAAGTTTCAGATGGTTAAAGCTTATGAAGCACTTCAGAAGCCTGGTTCATGGGAAGTGCCTTGTAAGAGGCTGCTAGGGATGGGGATGGCAGGTGTGTGGCTTGGCCTCCCTGGCCTCCTTGCTCCCACTCCCCTTCCCCATGCTCTGAGCCCTGGGCAGTCCTATCATGACTCCCAAATCCAGTGCGGAGCTGGCATGGGGCACGGCACATGGAGATGTTCAGGACCTCCCAGCCTCCAGCAGGAGACCCATGGTAGTCATTACAAGTGCATCAGCACTTTAGAAGCAGCATGTGCCGAGTGCTGCTGGCCATGAAATGGTGCTGACCCCTCAAAATCCATTTGCTGTTGCTCATGCTGTTGCATGAACATTGTCCATTTCCTCGATTCTATGTAAAGTGCTCGGAAAATGAAACTTCAGCCTCTCCCCACCAGGCTCTGCCCCAAAAAGAGGGAGGAGGCATCAGAGAAGGCTTCTCAGGGGAGGTAACCCATGGACTGGGCTTTGAGGGGTGGGGAGGAGGCATTTTCCAAGCAAAGACAGAGGGTCCTCCCTGCAGAGCGAAAATAATATGCCAGGGCACTGTGGGGCTGTTTTCTGTGTGGCTGGAGTGTGTGGGGTTGGAAGATCAGGCTGGCAGGGGGTCCCTGGGGGCCAGGTCACAACACACCTTCAATGCCAGGGAAGCAAAATCGGGCTTTATCTTGCAGGCAGTGGGTGCCACAGGAGGGTTCTAGACAAGGGAGGTTGCAGCCAGAGCTGCTTTTGAGAAGGTGGCTCTGGCGGCTGGGAGGAGAGTGGATTGGAGGAAGACGCTGGAGGCAGGGAAGCTGGTGAGGAGGCTGCCGCAACCCTACCGGCTCTGAGATGCTGACAGTGGGGAGGGGACAGAGAAAAGCTGAAGGCAATCCTGGTTAAGAGACGCTGCTAGCCCCGGCCTGCGCAGAGCACAAAGCTGATTTCCTAGGGCCTCGACCACGCCAGATCCTTCTCAGCGGTTAGGGCTTTACAGTTTGCCTCACAGGCGCTCAGTAAGTGCTTGTTTTATTAATGAAGGGAACATCATTTAATTAGCCACTAGCAGTGCAGAACGGCTGGCCAGGAAACCCTTCTTTGGAGTGGAGAGGAGAAACTTGAGGAGTGGTGATTAACGGGGTTTACTTTTCAGCAGTTAATGTGAACGTCTTCTGATTCTCTTCACGCAGGCCTTCTGAGGGTTCTAAGAGAGATTTCATTTCTAGGGCAAGAATGTGGTTGAGCCTTATCTTATCCATAGCATGAGTTAAAGGTGGTCTCCAGTGCATGGATAGATTTGACCTAGGTCTGGAATCTGGGACGCTTTCTCCCACAGGAGCTGTGGGACGGGGGTGGCTGGGTTTGCAGAGCCTTCTGGGGTCCACGGGCCTGCGTGATTCCTGCCTTCCCTCCTCTCTATGGCCAGGCCTCGTGCTGGCCCGAGGAGGCAAATCTGACCTCATGCAGCAGTGTTCCTGTTCTTGAAGATTTCCCAGACCAGCAGATGATAGTGACAGGGACAAGTGCATTTCGGTGGTTTCGTAGAGGAGCTAATGTTAGTGTTGAGACTTCCTGCCCTCTCCCTTCCCTTCATTCATTCATCCATTCAACCTTGGTAGCCACACAAGGTGTGTAGCACAGGTTGTCTGCACAGATCCTGGGGCCAGCCTGCTGGGTCTGGACCCCTGTCCTACCAGTTACTAGCTGTGTGCTTCTGGACAAGTGATGTCGCCTCTCAGTCTGTCTCCTTCTTCATCTGAAGAATGGGGATAAAAGATAGTTCATGGATTATTGTGAGGAGGAAGTGAGCTCATTAACCTCAAGTGCTGGAAACGAGGCGGCTTGTGGTAAAGGCGGCACAAGTGTTTTCTTGTTATTCTGAGCCCTGTGCTGGAACCAGCCTGCCCTCCAGGTCCTGTGGGGTGGCAGACGTGGACACACAGCCTGGGGGAACGTTACAGCTGCTCTGACCCTCAGGCTGCCCACCCCCACCGCCCCAGCCTCCACCCTTCCCAGGCCTGGTGCGCCCTCACCCATTCCCCAGTCCCACCCGGCCTCACCTGTCTTCCCGCAGGTGGGCAACCTGGGCCTCCTCTTCATGCTGCTCTTCTTCATCTATGCTGCCCTTGGGGTGGAGCTCTTCGGGAAGCTGGGTGAGTGACTCCCAGAGCAGGCCTGTGGTGGGGTGCAGCAGGGCTGCAGGATGACTTGGTGGAGCAGGGAACCCCAGCCCATCACATCAGGGTCTTTGTATTGAGGAGATGCCTACAGCAGGGCCCCCACCTGTCTGGTCTCCCAGGGAACCTGCCCTCCCTACCCCTGTAGTGGTTGCCTGTCTTGTGTTGGTGCCTGTCTTGAGCCAGCACCGCCCCAGCAAATGGAGAGGCCAGGGTGGGGGCAGAGGGCAACAGAGCACTTGCTGAGCTCTGCCCTGCACCGGGATGGCTCTGGAAAGCAGGGTTCCCTGACGGGCTGGCCCTCACCCCATTTCATCCTCTTTCTCAGAAACCCATTCTTTGGTGGGGGACAGAACTAGACTCACCCAAACCTGAGCCCCAGCTCATGCGCCATCTCCCCGAGCCTCAGTTTATCTGTGGGCTGGGCACAGTCTGCACGCCCCTCCTAGAGTGTGATGAGGGTTGAGGCAAGGTGGGAGGCACTGGGTCAGGGTGAGCCCCGCAGGTGCTTTGCCATCGGGCAGGGCTGACCTCCTCCCCGCTTCCAGTCTGCAACGATGAGAACCCATGCGAGGGCATGAGCCGGCATGCCACCTTCGAGAACTTCGGCATGGCCTTCCTCACGCTCTTCCAGGTCTCCACGGGTGACAACTGGAACGGGATCATGAAGGTACTCCCGGGTGGGCGGGGGTGGAGAAATCAGCCAGATGCTGGGACAGTGAGGATGCTGGTCCTGCTGCTCAGGGCTCTGCCCACCCAGGGCCCCACCGCACAAGGGAGGGGCATGCAGGGCACGGAGGAATGGAGGGGCCTGCCCGGGACCAGCACAGTGGGGAGAGCTGAGCCGTAACAGGCCCCTTGTCTACCACTGTCCCATCCCCCAGTGTTGCCTAAGATTGGGGCTCAGATTCTAGGGGAGACAACTCCACCCGGTTCCAGGGGGTACCTGGGGCCCAGGCAGGCCCGAAGGCCAGGGCCAGGCCCCCTAGTGACTGCCGCACTGACCAGGTCACCCGGCAGAGGCTCCCTAGACTGGGCTGCAACCTGGGCTGGGCTGGGAAGGGCAGGGAGGGGCTCCCGGAGGACAGGGGTGAGGCCTCGGTTCCGGGGCCCTAAGGTGGAGAGGGCAGTGATAGGCCTGTTCTGCCTCTCACCCCCAACCTGCAGAGCCCCCAGTCCCCCAGCAAGGGGGCAGGAAGCCGGGGGCTAGGAGAGGCGGCCACTGTCCTCGGCCCAGGGCGGGAAGGTGGTGGAGTCTTCTTGGGCTTTGTGGGTGGGGGTTGAGCTGAAAAACCAGAAAGGAAGGACGGGGAGGCCCTGGTCCCGAATGCACCCTACTCCCCAGATGCCCCTGAAGGAAGCCCCAGATGCCCCTTCTCAGGCCTGACTGTGTCCCAGGGAAGCAGGCCAGCTGTGGGGAGGGTGACGTGGGCGGGAGCAAGAGAGGAGGAGAGGGTGCTGGGCCATCGTCTGTCCATGCGGGGACTTAGCTGAAGCTGAGGCAGGCAGATGCCGCCACAAGGCAGAGTGGGGCAGGGCAGCCAGGGCCATCTCAGGGGTTGAATCTCGGTCTTGCTGCCTCCGCGCGTGGCCCTGGGCTGGCCTCTGCCTCCAGCAGCCCTCGTCCTCTCCACCTTCCCCACCACGCAGGACACGCTACGGGACTGCACCCATGATGAGCGCAGCTGCCTGAGCAGCCTGCAGTTTGTGTCGCCACTGTACTTTGTGAGCTTCGTGCTCACCGCGCAGTTCGTGCTCATCAACGTGGTGGTGGCTGTGCTCATGAAGCACCTGGACGACAGCAATAAGGAGGCGCAGGAGGACGCCGAGATGGATGCCGAGCTCGAGCTGGAGATGGCCCACGGCCTGGGCCCCGGCCCGAGGCTGCCTGCCGGCTCCCCGGGCGCCCCTGGCCGAGGGCCGGGAGGGGCGGGCGGCGGGGGCGACGCCGAGGGCGGCTTGTGCCGGCGCTGCTACTCGCCTGCCCAGGTGGGCAGGGGCTGGAGCGGTGCGAGGGTCGCCAGAGGGGGGGGCACTGCAGGGCTAGATGGGCAGCGGGGCCAGGGAGGCCTTGCACAGAGACCTCTGTCTTTCTGGGCCCCACCCTGCTCAGCTCCATAGAAGGGGTGACCCTGTGATGAGGGGGTCGGTCCCAGGCCATGGGCGCAGAGAACCAACCGGGAGGGCAGCTGTGTCCTGCCCACCCCGCAGACCCGGGACCCGGCTGATAATCCCGCCTGTCCCCACCCCGTCCCCGTCCGCCTAGGAGAACCTGTGGCTGGACAGCGTCTCTTTAATCATCAAGGACTCCTTGGAGGGGGAGCTGACCATCATCGACAACCTCTCGGGCTCCATCTTCCACCACTACTCCTCACCCGCCGGCTGCAAGAAATGTCACCATGACAAGCAAGAGGTAATGGCAGCCCGGGAGGCCCATCCCCTTGTGGCAGGGGCAGCACGAAGCCTGGTGGGGGGCCTGCCCAAGGGCAGAGCCTGGCTCTGGCCGTAGAGACCAGGCTGGGTCAGTGTGGGCACACGTAGCTTCCATGGCCTGGGCAGATTGGCTCCCTGAGCCAGGGCCAGGTGTGGGCCTGTGGTGTGGTGGCCGCAGCTACTGACCCCAGCACCGTGCCGCACACAGTAGGTGCTTGGGTAGGGCAGCTGCCCCACCTTGTGTATTGCAGGTGCCAGGCAGGGAGCCTGTGTGTCACTTGCAGGACAGCTTGCCCTTTCTGTGACATGAAGGGGTCATCTGCCCGCTCTTCCCCCGGGGCATCATCCTGGCACTCAACCTCCTCCAGGTGCCCTGCCCTGGTCTCCAGCTCGGGGCTTAGGCCCACCCAGCTCAGGGGCTCCCATGGGTCCACCTCCAGTGCAGGCGCAGGCAGCCCCCTCCCCTCTCCCCAGCAGTGTGGGCCCCTGAGCTCTCCCTGGGGTGCTCCAGCCCCCAGGGTGGCCCCAGCCTCAGGTGGCTGCAGGGCGGGTCCCCAGGAGCCGTCAGCAGGAGCTGGAAGTCTGGGCTGCCCCACACCCCTGCCCTGTGGTGGCTGCAGATTCTCCAGTGTCTCTGGGCCCCGCAGTGTCCCCTGCCTGTGACACGCTGTGCAGGCTGTCCACACAGGGCCATAGATGAGTCAAGTCCAGCCCAGTCTTGATGGGCACTTGGTCTGGGGGCAAGCAGACAGCTGTGGAGTTCACAGCCCATGGCAACTCACCTGCCCTCAGGCCCAGATAGCAAGATGGGCCACTCAGGGCTGGCTTCCACTGGAGGTGACCGCTGTGTCGCCATTGCATACCGCCCAGGCTGGGCCCCTGCACAGGATGGATACATCATCCGTGCCCAGCAGGTGCCTGGACCTTTCTGACCACTGCTTGGCCTCTCTTCAGAGCCTCAGGCCTGTGGCTGCACGCCCCAGGACCCAGGCCTGCCCATCCCAACGCTGTGGTGACCTGAGGCCACCCCCTCTTCCTGCAGGTGCAGCTGGCTGAGACGGAGGCCTTCTCCCTGAACTCAGACAGGTCCTCGTCCATCCTGCTGGGCGACGACCTGAGCCTTGAGGACCCCACAGCCTGCCCACCTGGCCCCAAAGACAGCAAGGTGAGCTCCCCTGGGGACTCCTGAGCAGGCGGGTCTGTCCTTGAAGCCTGGCCCCTGCCCACCCAGGCAGGAACCCCCTGTCTTTCCAGTCTACCATGTAAACGACACCCACTGTGTGCTAGGCCTTCGTCTCCTGTAGGACAGATGAGGGCAGTAGGGCTCAGAGAGGTGGAGTGATTTGCCTGAGGTCACACAGCCACAAGCCCAGCCAGCGATCCAACCTGGCACTCAGCAGCACTGGCTGCTTCTTGTTGCTTTGAGTATTTTTTGGTCCATTCCATGGGGGTCATCCCTGGCTGGCAGGGCTGTGAGGCCGAAGTGAACGGGGGAGTCGTGTCAGGCAAAGCACCTACTCTGTGCGGGCACTCTGCCCGTGCCGGCTTTGTCCGCCCCACAGCTCTGTGCAGCAGGCATGATTCGTCCTCGCTTCACACGTGAGGAGATGGGGCTTCCAAGAAGTGGGGTGATGCTCACATCACACAGCCAGGAATGACAGAGCAGGAAGCCACCTCTGAGGCTGGGCCCCAAACCTCTGCACCCCAGGGGGTCAGTCTGAGGAGGCCTGCAGGCCAGGAAGGGCCCCTTGCTGATCCTGCAGTCTTAAGGGGTGAGACCTCAAGACCGGGGCTCCTGATCTCAAGGTCAAGGTGGTCCTGCCCTGCTGGGGGTGGGAGGTATAAGGGACAGCTGGGGGATACCCTGGGCTTGGCACCTCTGCCCCCTAGGCTGGCCCTCCATCAGCTCAGGGTAGGTTGCGGGGCGAGTTCTTCCTATCCCTTCCATGTCATTTCGGTCCCCTCCCTGATGGCTCACAGTTGCTGCAGCTCCCTGTACCCCCACACTGCTCTTCTACAAAGGATATCAGGGTGCACAGTTTTTGGGACTCAGCTGGACTTGGGCAGGGTGCAGTCTTTTGTGCCAGACTCAGCAAGTCATCGGAGGTTGGGGTGGCGCGAATGCATCTGCCTTGGAGGGGGCACTAAGGCAGCTCTTCTGGGAAGGGGTCACTATGGGCTACAGGCCTGAGGAATGTGGGGGCCAGGGAATGCCTAGGAAGGAAGGCATCACTCTCCTCGGATGCAGAAACATGCTCAGCAAAGGGAAGGGAGCCCCCCAAGGTCATGCTCACGGGACACTCTGGCCACTCAGCCTGTCTTCTGATGCCTTCACCAGCCTTGACCTGGCTTCTTCACCGGCCCAGGGTCTGTACCAGGGGGAAGTCACTAACTGCCTGGGGCATCCAGTGGGGCATTCGGAGGTGGATTCCTTTCACTGGGGTTTGGGAAGATGGTCAAGTAGAGGAGGTGAGAGGAAGGTCAGACTAGCCATGAGGGTAGCCTAGTTAAGCGAGGGCCCGTGGAGCAGGTCATGAGGGCAGCTGTCCCCGCCCCCCCAGTCCTGCCCCATCCTACCTCCCTTTCCTTGCAGGGTGAGCTGGACCCACCTGAGCCTATGTGTGTGAGAGACCTGGACGAATGCTTCTTCCCCTTGTCCTCTACGGCCGTCTCACCGGGTCCAGAGAACTTCCTGTGTGAGATGGAGGAGATCCCATTCAACCCTGTCCAGTCCTGGCTGAAACATGAGAGCAGTCAAGGTGAGGGGTGGGAGCCCTGCCAGCTCCCCACAGCCCTCATCTTGGGCGTCTGCTTCAGAGGGAGGTGGTTGAGTTTTTTCCTTAGTATTTTTACCCAGATTATTATATTTAGTCCAGAAAGAACCAGATGGATATCTGACAATGAGAGATAGACTCTCAGGCCTGATATAACAATGATAAAAGATCAAGAGCCAAATAGTACAAAAAGATGAGATAATTATAACAAAAACCTAAGCATCTAAAGGAAGCTTCATGCTAAGCTTCCTAGGAGCCATAGTGAAAAGGGAAAGAGGTGGGTACACATGGCTCTCATATCAAGCAGAAGGAAAGCTGCCAGATTATTGTGTTTTTCTAGAGCTGAATTAGAGAGGTGTGTAGCCCACAGATCTTCATATACATGGGGATGTTAAACATAGGAAAGCCTGGTGTCTTCAATAGCCCTTTTGCAAATTCCTGATACTTATCCTTCAGCTCTACCCGCAGTGTTCTGTTTGTGCTTTGGGCCCGTGGCTGGGCTCTGGGCACAGGGCCAGGGGACTAAGCTGGCCTGCCATCACAGGTTCATCTTTACTGTGGTCCTCATGGAGGGTGGCAGGAACCTGGTTTCACAGCATTGGCTATGGAGGCAGGCAGAGAGATGAGGAGCCCAGCAGAAGAGGGACGCCCAAGACTCTGAGCCCACCCCAAGTACCCTTCGGGGACGCCTCCCAGGAGCCAGACATGGGGTGACTTTCCTGGGCACCCTCCCTAAGCTGATGGGCTTTCAACTGGCCAGGGTGGCTGAGGTGCCAAGATCCCAGACTTCCCAAACCAGAAGTCAGGGCACAGGGCTGACCCGAGAGCCATTCTGGTGGAATGCAATCTCATTCCCTTTAGCCAACCATTTATTTACGTTTTCTTAAATGGTAAGATGGTATGGCATAGGATCCCCACCCGGGACATTCAGACTGTCCAGCTGTCTTGGGTACATTCTTCCATTATCTCACCCTCAACCCCTCAAGGTGTGGAGGGGACGGTGGGCAGAGGCTGCTGCTACCCCCCCACGTCCCCCACACCCAGACCTGCCCCAGCCCTCAGACCCCCCACCCCTGTCTCTGTCCCTCACTGTGTGCAGCCAACCAGGCCAGACTGACCTGCCATCCAGTGCAGCACCTGACCCGGGGCTGGGACGCCCCAACCCACCTGCTGTCCCACAGGGGCCCCCCGGCCTGGCCAGGCTGCATGGTGGGGTCAGGACCCGGGGGTGACTGATCCTAGTGAGCACCTACTGTGTACTTGGTACTGAGCTGGGAGCTTCCAGCTGTTTCTTCTCCTGATGACCCTCAAGATGGCATCTTGTTCCCTTTTACAGAGGAAGAGACCTAGGCTTGAGCCCGGGTCTGCTTGCCTCCAAAAGCTGTGTCTTGCCCAGGGCCCCTGCCCCCTGGAATCAAAAGGGCTGGTTCAGGATTTCTCTCTTGCTCTCACAATGGGGAAACAAAGGTTTAGAGGGGGGCACTTGCCCACGGTCTCACAGTCAGTTTATTAGGTGGCTCCTCCCTGCTGGCCCAATGAGATTGGTGCTCAATGCCACCTCCCAGGGACTGCCCCCTGGCCTGAGCGTGCTCCCTCAGCTCTGTCTCCTCCTTTCCCAGCAGCACCCCCAAGTCCCTTCTCCCCGGATGCCTCCAGCCCTCTCCTGCCCATGCCAGCCGAGTTCTTCCACCCTGCAGTGTCTGCCAGCCAGAAAGGCCCAGAAAAGGGCACCGGCACTGGGACCCTCCCCAAGATTGCGCTGCAGGGCTCCTGGGCATCTCTGCGGTCACCAAGGGTCAACTGCACCCTCCTCCGGCAGGTACCGGCACCTCCCAGGCTCCAGAGCACTGGTCTGTAGGCAAGGGGCAGGATCTAAGCCAGGCCTCGAAGTCCGAGGGACTGGGAGGGGAAGGACCCAACCAAAGGCCCAGGGCACCACCATGCAAGGGGGTTTGGGAACGCTGGGGTGATGCTGAGACTGGAGCAGGAGGTGGCACTGGGGCGGACGGGAGTGGGCAGAGCTGGGTCCTGGGGACAGCAGAGTGTGGGGAGGACCCCGAGGGGGGTCTGGAAGAGGCCTGTGATACCTAGCTTGAGGGGAGGGGAGGAGGAGGAGGAGTACTGGAGGTTTTGCAGGGTGGCGGGGTGCTGGCGGTGGGGAGGATACCCTGGGTTATCTGGGTGGGTGTGAGCGGGGGCTTGATTACTAGGAATGGAGGTGGGAGGGCGGGTCTGGTGGATGAGAAGCCTCGGCCTGCAGGGTCCCCTGTACTGGATTGGCCAGAGCCACAGCCCTCCTACCCAAGAGAGCACTGAGGGCTCCGTTGTGGGGGTGGGGAAATGGGGTCCAGCCGGCTCCCACAGTATGGTGAGTGCGGTTGATTCACTGGGTGACTGTGGGACCCAGTCCTAGCAGGCTGTGTGGCCTGGCGGGCAGGATACAAACTCCCTGCCTGCTGAGCTCACCGTTTAGTGCTGAGAGTGAGCTGCAGGGGTGCAGTAAAGTCTACTCCATGGTGGACAGGCAGGGAGAACAGCTCCTGGGGAGGGGCTGGAG